GGAAGATAACTTCCTGATACAGCTGGTAAGTAAGCGTACCGGAGGGGGTGACCTACTAGACCTGCTGCTTACAAACAGAGAAGGGCTGATGAGAGATGTGGTGGTTGAAGGCTGTCTTGGGCACAGCAACCACAAAATGATAGAATTTTTGATTCTTGGTAAAGAGGGGCAGAGGGGATTTAACAAAACCTCTACCTTGGACTTCCAGGGGATGGACTTCGCCCTGTCCAGGACACTGCTTCAGATAGTCCCTTGGGAAACAGTCCTTAATAACAAAGGGGTCCAGGAAGGCTGAACATACTTTAAAAAGGAAATCTTAAAGGTGCAGGAGCAGGCCATCCTCATGTGCAGAAAGACAAGCCAGCAGGGAAGAAAACAGATCTGGCTGAACAGAGAACTTTTGCTGGAACTCAGGAAAAAAGAGAACCTTTGGAAGAAGGAGCAGGCAACTCAAGGAGAGTACAAGGCTGTCATTAGGTCATGTGGAGAGAAAATTAGAAGGCAAAATCTCAGCTAGAACTCAATCTGGCCACTGCTGTGAAAGATAGTTAAAAGTTTTTATAAATGCATTAACAATGAAAGGAGAGTAATGGGAAATCTCCATCCTTTATTGGACTCAGTGGGAAACATTTTCACCAAGGAGGAGGAAAAAGCTAAGGTACTTAATGGCTTCTTTCCCTCAGTCTTTAACAGAAAGACCAGTAATCCTCAGAGAACCAGCCCCCTGAGCTGGTAGACAAGGATGGGGAGCAAAATAGACCCACTACAATCCAGGAGAAAGTACTTAGTGACCTGTTGAGCCACTTAGGCAATCGAGTTTATGGGACTGGATGGGATTCACCCGAGGGTACTGAGGGAGCTGGCAGAGGAGCTTACCAAGCCACTCACCACTCTCCATCATTTATCATCAGTTCTGGTTAAGCAGAAAAGTCCCAGACAGCTGGAGACTGGCCAGTGGGACACCCATCTACAAGAGGGGTCTGAAGGAGGATCCTGGGAACTGTGGGCCTGTCAGCCTGACCTCAGTGGTGGAGAAGGTTATGGTACAGATCATCTTGAGTGCAGTCGTATGTCACATATGGTACAACCAGAGAATCAGGCCCAGCCCACATGGATTTAGGAAAGGTAGGTTCTGCTTAACCAACATGATCTCTTTTTAGGACCAGGTGACCTGCCTAATGGATGAGGGAAAGACTGTGGATGTAGTCAGCCTTTGGCCTTTGATACTGTCTCCCACAGCATTCTGGAGAAGCCGGCAGCCCACAGCTTGGACAGGTGTACTCTTTGCTGGGTTAAAAGCTGGCTGGATGGCTGGGCCCAGAGAGTGTCGGTGAATGATGCTGCATCCAGTTGGCTGATTCAGTGATTTTTATGATTCTAATATAAAGGCAAGGGCCATATTTTTGAAATCCCAAGAGCTAACCGTTTTCTGTGGGTCGATTACGACTACATCCCTGTTAGTACCAAGACAGAATGGTCTTTAGCCTGCTGCAGAGCAATACATGTCTGTGGCACAGCTCAAATCAGGCAGAGGTTTGTGGGCCTAATTCTTGGAGGATTTTTATTTTTTTGTTTGTTTCTGTTGGTTTTGAGGTGAGTAAGCATGTTTCTAGCCCCCATTGTTATAGTGAAAAGCTACAAAAATCATCTCTGCTGAAATGTGGAGGTGTCTCAGCATTCAGCAGATGGAGGCAATAGCTGGAAAGGCAGGAGCATCCCCCCACACCATTTGGGTTAGTGCTGCGATGCCTGTGAGGTACTGCTGCCACTCGCCCACAGCACCGCGTGTTTGAGACCTGGAAAGGAAAGGACTGAGGATGGCCACAGAGCCACCTGCAGGGCCAGGGGTGAGTATGAAGCAGGAGAGGCTCCTGCTGCTGGTAGTTTCTGCAACACTTTGGAGAGGACTGGAAATGGCCCTGCCTCTGCCAAAAGAATTGATATGATCTTGAAGCTCTTTCAGGTACTTATGCTGACCATGACCTTCACAGAGGGAAAGATGCCCTGTATCTTCTGCTTTCTCTAAAACTGTGATGTGCAAGCCCTTGGTGACCTTTATTTAGAAGGCAAGTGATGCCCAAGAAGCTCCAATCTGAGCATTTTCTCAGCACCAGTTTGCTCTGATTGCTGTCTCTTTTAAGGTGACAACTTAGAGCCTTGCTGATGCAATCCGGTCACCGATGTTCACAAGTACTGCTCTGCTTGGCCTTGAGGGGCAGCATTTGTACTGCCTTTGGATTTTGTGTACTGCTGAGCAAATGGCTTACACTGGAAATACAGCATTGGTCAGAACATTTTCATTCTGTTATACCACAGGTAAATCTGTTTCAGTGAAACTGGCCACAGGAAGATACTAATTGGGGAGAAGTAACAAGAGCCCCATTTGGAAACTGAAGTAGTTCAAGTCATGACTAGCAGCATAAATCAAAAACCATACCTAAACTATTAGAAAATTTTGGTTTGGAGGATTTTTTCAATAGGGAACAAACCTAGAATTCTGAAACTTGGGTGACATCATAAAAAAGAATAGTTGCTGGTTAGATGGTTTCAGTCCAATGCAACACTTTCTTCTGAATTAAAATGATAATGTAAAAATGATACATGATTTGATTTTCAGGAAACTCAGTAATTTGACATAAAGCAAATTTAATTTGATTTTTCATATGTGATTTTAGATGTGATGGTAATCCTTCATATTCATGATGTAAAATAACAATGCACAGTATTGTTATAAAAGTTGTAAAAATAGAAGACAAGACAATTAAAAAAAATGAAAATCACTTGATAATTTGATATAGCTTGTATATTAGGTGATTCTGCATAGTTGCTTGCTGAGTGATGGGTAAATATACACAGAAACATTTTTTTCTTTCATTGTCAGGATAAAAGGAGAAAGCCTGGACAACAGTTAAGTAATGAAAAGGTAGCAATGAGAGAGCAGCACGATGAAAAGCCAGAATTGCCTCAGTGAGTGAGTAACTGTTCTGCTTGCTATGAAATCTGTGAATTGCTGTAGCCCTTGGCTCCTGGCTTGTCCTACTTGTGGAGCAGCCCTTCCCTGATGCACACAACACCTGTATAGGAAATAACAAGCAATTGTGCCTCAGCCACTTTCTCCAGGTCAACAAAACCCAGATATTGTCCTCCAGCTGTGCCAGCGATACACGTCCAGCTGGCTCAGTCCCTCCCTTTCAGATGCTGCAGGCAGAATCTTGAGGTTTGCTGTGACTTCTTTAGGTTTAGCATGTCCTCAGAGGGGAAGGAGAAGGCAAGAAATAAGGCACATCTGAAAAGTCTCAAAATCAAAAATGAGAATTTTAAAAACATGTTCTGAATTTGGCATATTGAACTTTTATAGCCAGTTAATGACTTTTCATTTTCAGACTGCTGATGTGTGTTCACACAGGAGTTTTATAACTCAGACTCTGAAACTATGAAAGTTCATTCCTTTGTCATCATCTCTGTGTTCTATATTTTAACTTCTGTTTAAAAAAAATTACAGTAACAATTCAATTTTATGTAATTGTTTAATTCAGTTGTGTAGTCAATTTTTGCATTAAAGATTTAATGTGGAAATAACACAATATAATTTAATTCTAAAACCTATATACACTGCCTGCACTTCTGTTTATTGAAAAATGTATTAGACTTCTTGGTAAGGAAGCAATTTCTAGCATATCTTCCTGCTGAAATACCTTCCTAAAACCAGTACAAGAATTTTGGTTTCTGCACTATTGAACTATAGTCTATATTACACATGGATCTTTTGACCATCTAATCAGATTATGTTCCATTAATCTAACTCATTTCCTATGTTTTGGATGTGTGTATTCTACTGATGGTAGTGGATAGGACCTAACAGTAAATGTTTGTATGTTACTTGAAAGTCTGTAGAGCTGTGAGTTTCGGAGGAAGACAGGAATAGACAGTATCAGTTCTTATGTGCTCTGATAAAGTTACTTTAAACTGATTCTGATTAAAACTATACTGCTAAGAAATTATTATCTTAGCTAAAGAGATTGTATAAATAAAAATAGTTTATTTTTTTATTTATCTAAGCTTTATGTATCCACATATATAGTTAGTACATTAACAAGTCCAAGCCTGATGTTCTGTGGATGAGAACAGGTGATGGAAATTTGGGTTAGGCTATTATCAGGCCATCAGCTCTCACTGAATGTCCCACTGACTCAGTCACTGCTTGACAAGACTTTCTATTATTCTTCTTGTCTTGCCTGTGGCAGCACTTAGTACTCATGAGGCAGATGTGATCTGCTCCATGTTCTCCCACCCTTGCAGACTTTAAATTCTTTGCATTTTCTGTATATAAATAGCAGACTGTGTTTCCAGCAGTTCAGTGGGAGTCACCCTGTTTGCAATGTTCGTATTTAGCTGGTTTGAACTGAAAATTTTAGGGTCATTTTGAATATCTCATTTTTTGTTCTTGGAAGGCTTGCATCTGATTTTACCACCTATGAGCAATGCACAGTGCAGAGCCCCAAAAGGAAAACCTGTCCATGAAGAGTTATGGTGTGCACAGCAAAGACAATGTACATGTCTCTTCTGCTCATGACCAACACCAAGAGCTGTAAAGCTGATGCTTCTGTACAGACAAAGGCAGGAAAGAAACTCAGTTTATTAGAAAAAGGCAGAAGGAAGGGGCACGCTGAGGTCCTTTTGGCTGCAACAGAAAGCCAATGTGCTCTGCAGCATTTCTCCCCCAATGCTGCTGGAGCTGCCCAGAAAAGCTGGAGTGCCCAAGGAATGCACAAATCAACATACCTTTGTTAGGGCTCTCACGTATCAGTGGCTACACCTTTGTTAGGGCTCTCACGTATCAGTGGCTACAATGGGGATTAAAGCTGTATCCTAAGAGACACACTGGAAGAAGTGCCACTTTCAAGCTGAATCCTTGCTCTGCAAAGGCAGCCTAGTAGATCAGGGTACTGTAACTTAGTGCTTCTCTGCGTCTGCACGGGTGAAATTAGGAGCCAAATCCGTAAATATGTTGGCTTTACAATTAACTCCAGGTCTCCTCTCCTCTCGAGAGTGATGCTGCAGTAGATCCCTGACCACACCAGAGAAGGTGAGGTAAATCACAGCCACAACAGAAATTGTGTAAGGAGAGTGCAGGACAGACACCCTTGAATTCCCATCTCAGCAGCCTTGTCTTTGGCTGGAAACAAGATATAAGCCTCTCCTAGGACAACAGAGGAAATACCTCAAGCAGGAACTATGCTGTGAGTGCTCTGATAGCTCATCACTACAGTAAGATATATTAAAAGGCAGTGCCTCATGCTAGAACTTAGTGAATGACATAGGAAGGAAAGATCTTGCACAGTTATTATTATTTTTAATTCCATTATAGTTTTAGCTGAATCATGAAGGCATTTGAAACATTATGGGGAGTGCACTAAAAACAGAAGATGAGCTAAAAGGACTTGGCAGTGCTTAAATGTGTTTCAGCTCTTCCCCAGACTGTGATGCAGTCTATAGAAAATGCAAACACACTTTGCCCAGAGACTTCTAGTGCTGCAAATTAGGTGTAAGAGTGAGCCGAGGTAGTAATCCTGTAATGCTGTATCTGAGTGCTCTCTGAAATGTGCCTTTTATACTATTTTAAAAATACTTTTATTGTTATAATGCATGTGAAGATTGTTGGGCAGCCAGCTCCAAATAGGCACAGAGAGGAGAGGTGCAGGAAGCAAATACCTCCACATCACATTGGAGGGCCTCTGGTGGGCCTCTTTCCCAGATGTAGCAGCCCCATTAAGGATATGTCCTTGTGTCTTGTTCTGTCCTGTTTTCTGGCTCCCTTTGGAACCTGTCAGGAAGTGGTTTTGTTGGTTTGTTTCTTCATAAGATTGTTTAACTTTTTCCTCATATACCATTGATGGCAATGCATTTGAGACAATTCCTTTAGACAGCAAAGTCCAGCAATCTAGAGCTGAAATGCACCACCATAATCCTTTGAGCATTTAATATTTTAGTAAATTTTTGCTCTCTGAAATTTTTTTCAAACTACTTTATCATTAATGTAAGAAACTTTAAGCCTTTGAAATAATTATAGCTCCTGTAATCAGTAACATATACTATAATTGTAACTGCACAATTTAATACATGAAATTTCAGAGATAGCTAGAATAGATATTTTATGGCAAACAGGTTTTTTTATAGAGAAACTTGACATTTAAAATATGTCATTTATTAATATATATAGTAGCAAAGCAGCTACTATATATATAATGAGCTATTTTTGTCACATTATCTGGGACTGAGAAAACAAAAATCATTTTCTTTTAAGTATGAAAATTCAAGAGGAAAGCCACAACTTCAGATCCCTGTTTATATCCTTACCTATGTCCTCCCCCCCCACCCTGATCTTGGACCCTGCTTCTAGCAGCAGGAGGGACTAGGTATCTCCAGAAGGTCCCCACCAAGAAGACTCTTCTGTGGTTCTACAATTCGAAGTTAATGCCACCTAAAACTATCACAAGAAATCAAACAGGAAAGCTGCTAGCTACTAGCTGTCAGCTGGAAACCACTGTGGTACACAGCAGTTTTGATTTGAATGAAGAGGGGAATTTCAGCCCTCACTGAGAATTATTTTTGATCCCTGAGCCAAATGGATCCTTAATTTTTAGTGTATCCTCACCTCCTGAGCTTTATCGGGTCCTTCATAAAGCAGCTGGCTAGTGTGCTTGCCTCTGCTCAGAAATGCCCTGGTGTTCCAGTAATGTGTCACAGTTTTCATTTGTAAAAATCAAAGCCAAGCAAGTATTCCATCCCTGACTTGCTGGTTTTTTCTGCTGTGTATGGCCAGAGCATTATTCTTATCCACGATCCTTGCTCCTTCCCTGCCTCCTCCACTGGCACAGGTGGGAAAATACTCAGTGACTGAATAAGCTTGTGGTGAGCTGTGAAAATCCTTAGTGCTCTCAGTGGCTTCAGGAAAGAACACATTTTCAAATTCATCTGACTTTTACAAAGGGGTAGGTTAAGCCAGTGGTTGCTGTGTATCGTTTCACACATTTCTTTTGAATTAACACAAAATGACAAGTGAAAATAATTATATTCACAAGAGAGTACTATTGATATGATTGACCAAATTATTTTTCTGGTCTTGGAAGAAGACACAGATTTTGTACCCTGACGTAGTATTTGGTCTCTGAATTTTAACCACCTAAAAGTGAGATAACTGGAATCATCTTTCCTTTTTCTAAAGTTAGCGGAGAAAAAGTGTAATCTCGAGTAAACACTATATCCTGCTTAATTAGGATAGAATTAAATGCCCATTGATATGTTTAGCATGAGGGAACTGAGACAGCTGGCTTAAATGTGGACGTTCTCAGTATCTGGAGTCATGTGAAATGAAGCTCACCAAAAGAAATCACTGCCTAAATCTGCAAACCCAGCCTAAGGTGCAAACCTTCTTAGTACATCAGAGAAGCTTCATGAAGCTGTGGGCATCTGCATAGCATCATCATCAAAAAATCTTCCTATAAGATTTAGAAGATTCTAAACCTATAAGATTTTAAAAAGATTTGAAAGATCAAAGGCAATTGTTTGATACGTGAGAAGAGGAGAGCAGTTCTGGCATACTGTAACAGAGATCGAATTATTGCATCCACCCCTCCTGCTACCTCCACCCCCAAAATCTGAAAACTTCCTGATTTGTGTTCATCAATAATTAAGAGCCCATCAGCAATACTCAGAGGGAGCTTGCATTGCACTTCTGAGCAGCCAGTTAGTAATATATGGTGGAGAGATCCTCTTTTTCAAATCCCAGGGCTCCAGGCCATGCAATGCTAGTATTGCATTTTCAATTAGCTTCTGAGTGAATGCTTGGCATATGTAGAAGTGAGCTGGTACACAATTAGCTTCTTGTTCCTTTCAGCTTTCTGCTGAGAGGATCTGAAGGACTGCTGAAGAGAGGGGAGAGGGGAAAAAAAAAAGAAAATAGCCAAGCTAGTGGCATCTCTGTGGATGTGGAATAAGGGAGTTGCTCGACTCACGCAGACTCCCGAGCTAAGTCGGGAGTTACAGCTGTTACTGCAGGGCACTCAGCCTGGCTGTGGGGAGGGCGCCTGGGGAGAGGGGCAGACCCAGTCTCAAGCTCCAGGCTCTTCTCTCGTCTGACTCACCTCAGCATCACAATGGAGCCCAACAGCCCCAAAAAAATACAGTTTGCTGTGCCCCTGTTTCAGAGTCAAATAGATCCCGAGGCAGCTGAGCAGGTAAGGAAGACGAGTTTCTTTCACTGTTTTGAGGGAATGGGGTAGGAATGGGGGCAAGATGTGGGGTGAGAACAGGTAATACTTGTTGCCTAAATGGTTTTCTAACTTATATTAGTGAAACTGTGGATTAAATGCTCTGGAGGTTGTAGCAATGTGTAGGTATACCTAAAGAGGGAGAAAGATATGTCCTCTAGCCAGAATACGGCTTCTATAACTTGAGTAGGTTTATTCAGTATATATTTATTGTGCTTTTTTGTAACTGCACTTGTACCCTAATACATACACTTCACAGGAATACACATTCTCAACAAATCAACTCAAGTATATTATTTGTACATAAAGCTAAACATGAAGCTGATAATAGGTACCTAACAGAAATATTGAGCAGAAGACATCTTATTTCCCATTTATTTTACATGAGAAAATACTAGTTATGTTTTACACTGTAGTCATCACTTCAGTTACTTCCTGTATATCTCATGATTTTTATATAGTCTTCTTTATGTCATTCTTACAGTGTTTTACATGTTTGAAAAATATACACGTATAGAAATATGCCTGACTTTTGTCCACTGGAATGATGCATGTGCTATTTTAGGTTTTGACTCACTCCCAAAACATACACATAATATATATATGTGTAGCAATACAGACATCTAAGGAGAAAATGATACCTATTACTGTGTACGGATATGCATAGATGTGCATAAAAAGAGTCACAGGGAGTCTTGTGAGAAAAATGGGATAAATCCTAATTAGGTGACCCAGTACATTTCTCTCAGTGCAAGTCCTTCTCAGCATTTGCTTCTATTTGGGTAAGTCTAGTTTTAGATGATGCCAGGGGAATATTATAACCTTGACTATTCCATTCCATTAGCTATGAAATTCTTTATACCTTTAGGACAGGTATCTGGTTTCCTGGATATTATGTTGTTGTGTCTCTTAAAAGGAAGACACCTTTGCCAGAAAACAATGAGTTTTGAGTGACCACTGAATGCAGAAATATTAGAAGGGTGCAGAAGAGAATTGCTGCAGGTCTTCATTTTGCCCCTAGGTACTTCTAAGATGCAAAATGTCCCTACTTTATTGAACAGTTCTTCAATGAATTCAAGCAGAATGTGTTTTGGTATTTTTCTGAAATCTATGAGAACCATAGGATTAGGATTTCCTGGAATTCCCATGGCTTTTGAAATGCGGTGGCCCAAATTCTGCCTGGTATTTATGAGCAGTCCTTTTTTGTGTGTGTGTTGTGAGTTTAATTCCAAGTGTGATACAGTTTCACTGTGGCTGTATGATGAAATTAAAATGGTAAATTCTGCTGTCAGCTACAGTTATGTTAATCTGGAATAAACCCATTAACCCTGATTGATGTAATTTTCCACTTACACCTCTGAAAGCAAAATTTGAATCCAACTAAATACAGATGTTGGATCAGCAAATAAAAAAGAACAAATGCATTGACATTGAGGTTTTGTGTCAAAATGGTTTCTAGCTTAAATACTCTTGGTCCCTCTCTTAAATTCAATAGAATATCAAGCCTGGAGGCTTTAGTGAAACAACAAAAAGCTTTCAGTGCAAATGTGTGCATTATAGGAGGGTAGTCCAATACCATGCAGTTCAGCCACTGTTAATGGAACAAAAATAGTTACCCAGATAAACTCTGAATACGAAAAATTGCATACAATTCAGGATTATATATCGGTATGTAAAGATCTGCTGTACAGTGCTTTTTGGAAATACTCTTTTGAAAGTCTTAAATACTGGAGTTTTTTTTAGTTAAAGAACAGTAGTAACACCTCTGGTCACAGTTTAGAAATATAAATTCATTGCAAGGCATACCTGTAATATCAACTCAGAAGTGCAGTTGCAAAATATTACTAATTATTACTTGTGAGAACTATGACAGCACTAGGGATTTGCACATACAAGCTCACAAACTGCTGCAATCATCTTCCTGACACAAAGCTAAATGTCAATATTTTAAGATATGACTGATATTTGTCAGCAATACGTGTCCAAAAACTTAACTCAAGATGATTACAAATCCTAAAGGTATTTTGGAAAGCTCTCCTCATGCCTTTGCTCTGCCCGTACAAGCAAGAGCATGACCCAGATCACTGTCAGACCACACAAACTGTCAGAAAGACAGTGAATTGCTGCTGTTCTTTAAATTGCTGCTGTTTCTTTTGTAACTTTGCCTGGTCTATGCTCAGGAGAATGCTAGATGGATTTTTTGCTTTGCTTTGTGTGTGGGGCAGTCAGTGGACCCTAATGACTCTCCTTGGTTTACACCTGTTACAGATCAGGAAAAGAAGGCCTACACCAGCATCACTCGTCATCATGAATGAACATGTGCCCCCAGGTAGGTGCCAACATACCTTCTAGACCACTGAACTTGTATGCACAGGATTGTCTGCAAACTGGTTTTATTAACTACATGATTTTAAAAATCCGTCATTAATGTCACAGCACTAAATATCAGATAAAGATCTTAGGGCTGTTTGGAGTAAACCCCATATGTATTTCCTGGCCTTCAGATAATGTCAATATTTTCACAATTTTATACTCCATGTAAATCTTTTGTTATTCATTTCATTCATGGCTGGGCTTTGTGAACGAAGATTTGGGAAATCTTTTGTTATATGTACAAAGAGAATTACTATGACCCAGATCCAGCACTTCCATCCACAAACATTTTCTTTCCTTGGGCGGAGGATTTGGAGACCAACAATGTCCAATCTCTAGAGATGCCAGGGTAGCTCCAGGGCTAATTCAGCCAAGGGATATATATATCTATAAAACAGGTTCTTTTCTAGTTTTCTGATGAAACATATAATGTGTGTTTTCATTATTCCTGTTCAACTGTGAATACATTATCTTCATCGAAGACTCCCCCCAGAAAACTTTCTGTGGGATGGGATGACTTGAGACTGCAACATACTTTGTCACATAAATGTGACTTCAGAAAAATTCTTTAATAAGCTATTTAGGCAGTATTATAAGCAAAAAAGCTCTGCAAAAATGGAAAAATCCTTAACATATAATCCCTTTGAAACACAGTGCCTACTTTATATCAAATTTTTCCTTTGTAGTGCTCTGCAACATTTTTTCCTGTCTTATCTCTCAGTCACCTGATTCTCTTTTTAAAATCAGTTCAGGCTTTTTCTCACTGATGTGTCTCTAAGACCATTACTGTGTACACTGGTACCTCAGTGAAACAAAACCATCTTAGGTCTTTCAGGATCTCCACTTGTTTCGCTGTGCTGCAGGTCCTCAGGTCTGATCAACATCACCAGTAGCTGAAATTCCTCAGAAACATACGGGTAGAAGTATTCTGAGAGCCCAACTCTTGGAGTTGAGGTCATTGCAGTTCAGCACACAGATCAGGGAAGTTCAAGCGTGTTGTATTGTTAAGTTTATCTTCTTCTGACACTGAGAGTGACCCGTGTAACCCCAATCTCAGTTTGGAGAGTAGCTTTCTGGCCTGAATTTCAGGCAGTTCAGCTCTCAGTAATGGTGCATGAAAAATCTGTCTTAGACTGACTTTCCTTACCCTAACGGGATCTACAGTGTCTATGTTGCCAGGACTTAATTTAAAACAAATTCACCTTGACTGTTAATCTCTTTTGCAATTCACCTTGTACACTTTGTACCATCACATTTCCTGTTATAAACAGATACTTGGTACAATACAAAATCAAAACCAAACAGATAATAAGAACTCTTTAATTTACAGGAAATTTTACTTTAAACAAAGTGGTGCATGTCTGTTATCACCTTTCCTGCAATGTTCATAATAAATCTTTAAATAAATCATTTTTATTATGAGTCAGGATTGCTGTAAGTCTCAGTCAACTTCCATACAAGCACAACTTAGTATTCATCTTCACTTATTTATATTTATTAATTTAGATATTATCCACTCTTTCAGGATACTGGGAACTAATCTTAATGAAGTTATTCTTTTGTTAAATTATAATCTTGTCCTATTTTTAAAATTTTATATGAAGTCAGATAAAAAAAAAAAACTTTAACAGCAGCTCCATTTTCCTGTCCTTCACCACGTGGTTCATGCATGAGCACCTACATGTGTATTTCCACATGCCTGATATGGGCGTTTTGAATAGGTTGTGTGCAAGTGGTTGTGTAAACCTGCTGAATATAAGGACTGTAAAGCCAGGTTGGAAAGGCAGACAATAGATTTACAATGGAAGTGCAAATGCTAAAAAAATCCTTATGGTCTCGATCTTGCAAGGTGCTGTACAGCTTCTGTATACCTTCAAATTTCCAAGTCAACTAGTCCTAGGAGTTCTTGACACCTTGCTGCTTTAACTCCAAAATGCTGATCAGTTATTGGATTTTGAATAGAATTCAGTGAGATGCTAAATGCAATTTGTCTCCAAAAATAGTAAATTCATCACTGCACGTTTGCAGGTAATAGAATAATAACAATAAGGCTGCTAACTTGACACTCCAAAAATTGCTTTAGAAGCATTCCCTAGATCAATGGTAAAACTGAGCAGCAGAGAATTCCAGTGATACTGTCAAACTCACCTTTTTAATTAGAACTGGGCTAAACTAGAATCCTGTCTGTTGGATTTTATGCACTGGAGTACTCTACTTCCTTCATTAGAAGCAAACAACTAGTGAAGGATATGTTTCCAAGACTTTGAAATGTGTGTCCTAATGCAATTCTAAATGTTTGGATACCCCAGAAGAGTTTACTCTAATTATCTAAACTTCTCTTTTTTTGAAAAACAGAGACAGGCATTTTCTAAGAATCAGACTTTTCTATAGTTGTTACAACTGCTTCTGATTGCAGCAGGAAAAAAAGCAGCATTTTTTGTGGTATTCTGATCTGGATGTGGACCCATCTGGAAACCAGAAGGCAGTAAAATGTGTTTGGACATTTCAGAATTTCATAATAAATTCAGTTTGAGTTCTTCTGTACAATGATCTAAAAGTTGTTTTCTACTAAGTCTTCCCATCCATCCCTGATATCTGCTACAGCTTTGACAGGAATATGTCTTCACCGACTTAAGTCAGGTCAATTGTGCTATAAAGTGAAGACGGAATATCTACTAAGGCTACATCATTTTAAACTAATGATATGTACTCAAAAATTATAAGAAGAGTCTGCTTGACTTCCTTGCTTCCAAGGAGACAGTGTTAGACCACACCAAATGATTTAAAGGCAGGTGATATATGTGACTACAGGAGTTAATGTCCAGCCTGTAGCATCAATTACTGTTGCATTTTCTGATGTTCACTCTGATTGGTGTAAAATATAATTGCAATCAAAGTCAACAAAAGAGAAATTTGAATTGCAGCAGTAACAGTGATTGGAGTAGACAATATGAGTTTGTGAAGCAACAGACTCTTTAGGGATGGTCCTGTGCAGGGCTAAGAGTTGGACTCGATGGTCCTTGTGGGTCCCTTCCAACTCAGCATATCCTGTGATTCTGTGATAGCAGTAAATAAACTCTTAACTCTTTCGGTAAGTGCTCTGTAAAGTGCTCTTTGATGGGTTATGCCACATCTGAGCAGAGAAGCTAGCACTAGGAAACTGAGATTCGAATTATGAAGTTGCTTAAGTTTATTGTGCTTCAGTTGCTATCAATGGAGCTATGTTTTCTGAGCATCTGATGTTTGATTTCATAATATCTAATCAGTTTTACTTTTATTTGACATTATAAGGCTGTTTTACTGTCTGTGAAAGCAAAGACAAGTATAAGGTGATGGAACTACAAAAATGAGCAGCATCTCATCCTGTGCAGGATGCTGCATGTGTTACTGGGGTAACCCACTCATATTCTGCTATAGTCAGAGTTGCTTCATTTTATAAAGGGAACATAAACATGTTTAGTTTTAAAGACATATTTAACTATTATGCTGCACAAGAGTTTAATTCAAAAGTTGTTAAAGATCTCCTGCTTCATATTTCTCTTGCAATATCATTGGAGCCAACAGAAACTGAATATCACCATACCCTAAAAGCAACCTTTTCTGTACATGCGCAACCTCCTGTCTCCTTACCAAACATAGCAGGATATATATGAAAATCAATTCTTATTATCTGAAATAAAAGTCTGACCATGCTTTAAGCTAGCAGAATATCATACTGCAATGGCTCAAGAAAAAGCTGGTGGCAAAGTGGAGAAGTGATAGCTGAGGGAGGAAAGCATGTCAGACCACAACTCAGGTTTAATACCATTAGGGCTCACTTTGATCAGAAAACAATGCCAGTGTTCCTGTACAGACTGGCTTTGTCACAGAGCCAACACAAGATCAAACAGTCTAGCTGGCAAAGACTGTTCAACTTGTGTCAAAGTGTTCAGTCTTCTTGAAGCATTAGAATATGGGTAAACATTAGGATAAACTTCTATGTTTCTAAATTTTCTACATATTTGCTGTTTCCATCTCCCATTTCTACTTTGTTGCCTGTTTTGGTTTCCTTGCCTGTAACTCAGTTTTTGGAAATAAGAAAAACATCGTAACATGTTTTGATATCTCTGCTCCAGTGCTGCCTTTTTGCATTTTACAAATCTCATTTCAAGGCAGAAATGGTATACTATCAGTGCAAAAGCAATATAAAACAACCCAGTACCTCTGAGGTTACTGAACACTGGAAATCATAACTTGAAGAAAAGCAAGCTGTACCTGTCTTCAGACAAGGAACATGCTTGCAGCTTATCTTTTGGCATTAGCAGGCTTGCTTTCTTGTTCCTAGCTGATTTTCCATTATCCAGAAAGAGAATCATGCCTTTCAGATTACTGCCATTTCCCCAGAGCTCTGCTGAGATGCCTCATGAGCAGCCTGAGTATTTAGTGCAGTAGCAAACAACACAACCAGGTGGGTGGTAGAAAAAAAACCTGTCCTTATGCCTGTGTCAATTCCATGATAACCCAAGTAGTTAAGGTTTATCTGCTAAATTGGTTTTAGGCACTCCTGGACTTTCCCTGCAAAATAAATCTCATTACCACATACAGATGTGCTTTCCTGGTGATGCAAGCTGTACCAGAACCACATCCTTGAGGGGATAAATGTGATATGTTTTGCACAACAGTAATGTTTGTGACTAATATAGTTAGATAATGCTTCTAGGTGAATAAACATGTTTGTTCTATATGTAATGGTCACATATTTTTTTCTCCCAAGAAAAAATAAACTGCGGTCAAAAAAGACCAACTGTGTAAGAGGCAGCTGTTTCTGGGCATGGTCAAGCAGTTCTGTTATATTTTCTCAGGGAAAAATCTCACTGAAACTTGAATCAGCAGAGAACTCTTGGTCTCAGAGTTCATGAAAACCGATATGTTTTTCCAAAGCTTGAGATTCTGGTAGGACATACTGCTTACTTTGGT